CAAAAAAACAAAAACGAAGTGCAATTTCGAAAAACCGTCCAAAGTGTATTTTTGTTCTATAATTATCTACAGATTCCCACAATTGTCTTCACTTTCCAGAAAATCAATGAAAATTCATTGACACAGTTGGCGTGGTTTGACTCATAACCGACTTCTGGTTTCGACCGAAAATGGGTTAGACTGACCGGAAGTCCAAGTTTTTTTAATGGAACATATATGCTTTTACCACAGACTCGGATTCTGCGGACAAAAATACATACCTTTTGTTTGAAAACTTTTTCTCTAAGATGGCTTTATCAACCTCTAAATGAACTTCGAGCATCAACTCGTACTGGACTTTTAAAATGGACGAAAATGGTTTTATTGGAAAACGAAAATATATGAACTATCAAGTTGGGGATGTCATCGGGTTCTGAGCCAAGTTTAAAATTTTAAGTCTCTAGCTCATCGGGAAGTTGGTTAAAAATTGATTGCCAGATTTTATTACACACAGGTGAAACATAATAAAAGCTTGTACAAAAATTTAAAACTGAAAAAAAAAATTAAAAATTGGTGTAACTTTTTTTCTTGGTGAATTTGTTTGCATCCGAAGCATCGATTCGTCCTTTGCAAGGCCTAAAAATCAGTGTTTCAGCTGCTGATTCGAGCAAACGTTCCAAAAGCTGGGTTTCTATTGCTTCTTTTTATGAAAAAAAAAGGTTTCAGATGCGCAAAAATGTTGAGAATTTAAAGTTTTAGTGAAAAAATAACAATAATTGACATTTAAAGAGCAACTAATTTCAAGAAAAAAAAATTAAATCAGCTGCTTTGCTATTACTAACTGATCAATATGGCTACCATGCGGAATAGTTTTGTTGAAACCTTTAAATGGGAAATAAAATAGTGCAAAAAGTCTGGCGTAAGGTATTTGAAATTAATACATGATCTAAGCTTATAAATTGTTTGAAAATTGATTAGGATTTGCATCCACCTACCTCCCATAAATCCACATCCAATGCTGTGCTCGACTCTTTATTTGCCTTCAAACGTTTCGGTTTTGATTTCGATTTCGATTTGTCCTTCTTATCCATGTTGCTACGCGTATATAATATATAAATATGTATGTGTCGTAATATTTAAATTTGAAACACAGCAGTTTTACTTTGCCAAGATGATTTGAAACTTTTTCTTGTTGAATTTTTATCTCAGTTTTAATTTAGTTTTAATTAAATGCAGCCTAAAAAACAACTGCCGCACTGTATTTAGTCGTTTCGCTGCAAATATTTTCATAACTTTAAAAGTTCTGCTTTAAGTTTGTTGCGCCTTCAGCGTTGCTGCTTGTTTACATTATAAGAGTAATGTTTTTTTTTACTTTTTTGTAGTTTAAATTTCACGAAATATTAATGGTTCGCACAATTAGCACAAATTTTTGTTGTTTTGCTTATAGCTGCAGAATATTGTTAAGTAGCGATTACTTAAGCGCATAGGAAGCTACTTCAAACAGAAATACATATACACAACTTTTAGGAATTTTGCTCAAGTTATAGTTGTAAATTATCCGGTTGATTCCGTTGGCATTTCTAGTATTTTTTTGTTTCTTATTTTTTTATGCATTTTTCGCAAAGTTATTAATCATTTGTTTTCCTTTAAACTATAAACATATTTATGTAGGTACATATGTATGTCTTATCACTGCAGCACTTTCACTTGTTCTCGTTTCAAACGTTCCTCTCGTTTCTGTGGCTATTGTAGATAATTGTTGCTAATTTTCGCTTATGATTTATGTTGCTCATTGTTGGCATTCATTTGTAATCTGGGCACCATGTGGCTGCGTCACTGTTGCTGCTGTGTTCTGGTCTTGTCTGACGCTTGTTGCCTGCTGCTTGCCGATTGTTGTTTGTGGTTATTGTTGTTGATTGCAACAAAATTGGCATAGTATTTCTTCAAGTAGCGTTGGCTGTGGTTTTGGTATTTAATACCAGCGTAATTTGACAAAGGCGAATTCTCAGCCAGCAATTAACCGATGAACCTTAGCGGACACTGAAATTAGTTGTAGATGGAATAAAAGAAATTTTGATTAATTGTATGTATTTGTAAGGAAAATTTTTAATTCATGAGTGTTTATATATATTATATTAAATTTATTAAGATTAAGAAAATAAGTGATCAAAATTTTTTTTTTTACTTTGATAAACCAAAAATAAAAATTTTAGACTTAATTTGTACTTAGATATAAAATTAATAGCTTTTTAGGTAAATTAGTTATTGAGATTTTTTTAGAATGGATTACCACAAATAATTATCGTTATATTTAAAGATATAAAAACGCAGTTAGCCATCGATATGGATTTTTTTATTGATAATATTATTGACATAGTGGCCGACATAATTTTGATGCTGTTCTCGGTATGTTCACAAAAATTTATTGATATATTTATACATAGATATATTTATTGATATCGTTATCGATAAAAGCATTTATATTGATATCGATTGGTTAAAGTTACAAAAAAAGTAAAGATTCGGCTATTACGAAAAAGTAAATTCTTCCGAGACGAAACAGTCGGCGATCGCCTTTATTCAGTGTATGTATTTTGTATTATCTCTCTGTTTTCGTTACCCGATTACAGCGTGCGACAAAAACCAAATACTTTCAAAAAAGACGAAAAAGTCAATACACTGACGAAGCTATTGGCAAAATATAGTAAAATTGTGTTTTTAGTTTGTCTCTTTGACCTCATGATATTTTTAAAAAGGATTCTGAAATTTCAAAGGCATGTTTAATAGATTGTTTTTTTTTTTTTTTTTGTAAAATAACAACAATATGGTTAACAAATGAAACAGACAATTCTGTAGAAAAATAATTAGTTGTTTGGACGAACAGGTATTGGAAATGTCTTTTTAGTAATTTTTTTTCGTTAAAAAATTAAATTAGAGGAAGGCGTTTCAAGAATGTCGTCGTGTGAATATTTGTTCTTAAAGTATATTTTTTTCAAAAATAAATATTGAAAATTTTCAAGAATATTCAAGGATGAAATTTTCATTAGAGACGCGTGAATTTTATCTATCCACCTTACGTAGTCCATTGTTTTGAGGACAGCAGATATAACGAAATCCTCCAGGACGGACTCCACATCATCCGAAGAACGCTGTGAAGACTGTTGCTATTCAAAAGTAGGGAATCGATTACCAACCAAAAGTTCCTTCTACCTGAATCCTAATAATCCTATGCGCGAGCACTTTCCCTCGCAGAATCTATTTATTTCCTTATGTTGAAGGTAATGGAAAAAACTATCGACCATGATATCAGGTTTAACACTCTGAAACACGCCCCTCTGCATCCCAACCAGCACAGGTACAAGGTAGGCATAACCACAGACACCGCGCTGTATGCCTGCCGGAAGAAATACAAGGGGCCTTTGAGTATGATAAGACTTCGCGGGGCCTTCGACAGCGCCTCTAATCTCGGAGTTGACAAAGCGCTTGAGAAACATAATGTTCAGTCAACCATCCGCAGATGGATAGCAAGATTACTTCAGACTAGGATCACCGAAACAGAAATCGGTTGTAGGGTCGTTCAAATATAAACGACAAAAGGGTGCCCGCAGGGGGGGGAGGGGGTGTTATCTACTCTCCTGTGAAGCTTGGTTGTGGACGACATCCTACAGATACTCACTAAAGAGGGCATCCGATGCCCAGGTTACGCGGATGACATAGTGATTATCGCTAGAGAGCAGTTCGCAAGTACTCTCTGCGACATCGTCCAAAGAGGACTCAGCCTTGCAAAAAGGTGGTGTGCAGGTATAGGTTTAAATATCAATCCTTTACCAAAAAATTAACTCGCCAGGGGATGAGGAACTTGACATTAGCTGGGGTCGTGCTCAATGTTGCCACATAGAGAAGTATCTGAGACGCCTTGAGGCGTGTAAACGAGAATCCTAAGATGGATGTACACCATGATAGCGAGACCAATAGTGTTCTACGGTGTGGCGGCTTGGGTTTCCAGGAGTACTCTGTCGTGTGTTTGAGCAATGCGCACATGTCCGACGGCAGCACTGCAGGTAAAACTCGAGCCACTGCATCCCTCAGTAGAACAGGCTGCAAAGCGAACTCTCTTAAATTTTGCGAGGGGGCTTTGTCAAAAGCCCCTCAAGGTCTACAAATATGCCAAGGAAATCAGATTCTACGAAGCCGTCTCACAAGATCTTCCCGCTCGATAGGCATGTTGATGTATAGACAGGGAATGTGATGCAAGCGCCTCCCGGCGGATATGCACGTCAATCTATTCGGATATTTTAGCATGGAAGAGATCAAGCGTATTCTCTAACTCATGCAAAAACCTTACATGGTGCTTGGATTGCACGACAGAACTGGTTTTTCTATGGGGAATCTTTGAAGAACGTGCAATGCGTACACTGAGCAAGGGTTTTCCAAGACACTAGAGAATACACCTAATGTGCTAATAGAGTGTGTTGTCTGTGCAATGGTTTTCCATGCCAGATTATAGACGCAAGTGTAGTGTATTTCCGGCCGGGTTACGGTCCAAATTTGAACCAAATCGGAATAAATATGGGATTTTTAAATATATTGACTCCTGCGCCACCTAGCGGTTTAACTCATCTTTGATATTGCATTGTCATCGGATTATGAGATAAGTTTGAAGTTGCAAGTTTCTAGCTTATCAGAAAGTTTAGTTAAAATTTATTGCAAGATTTGCAGTGTGCAACAGGTGAAACTTAATAAAAGCTTGTAAAAAAGGTGGATATTCAAATAAATATATTAAACTTACCAATTATTTTTAGTTATTCGAGTAATTGCCTTATCAAAACTCCTATAGAAAATTGGTTTTTGCTTTAAATTTTAACAATATAAAAATTGTTTGCTTTGATTTATATGTATGTGTAAATAAAATTTATATGTATAAACTGTATAGTATTGTACTGATTTATGTAAGTATTTTCACTGCTGTCAAATTTTTGCTACTGAACACACTACTAGCAACAACTCTTAATTTTATGCATTTTTCCAAAAATTTTAAATACTCGATTTGACTTACGAGTACATTTCCATAGATAGGTATGTGTGCCAACACTTTCGAGCAGCAAGTGTGAGTTTCACGAGTGAGTGTGACAGGTATATGCATAATTGGCAATAAAAAATGCAAACTGAAGTAAGAAATTTCCTACAAAATGCGGAAGCCTAGATTGTGCTAAATGTGCGCAATCGGTGAGAAGGTGACCAATTATGGGTTGAAGAGTGACTCATAGCTGCGAGTAGCTTTCTATGCAACACGTGCAGCGTAGTGTAAAAAATTTATGCATTTTCTATATTTAAGAATTTCTCACAAAAGTGTTGCATACATACATACATACATACGTACTGTTTTTACTTGTCAACATTTCCATTAGTGTTTGCTAATCACTTCAAGGCAAAGTGCTAATTCGACTTTTTAATTTTGTTAATTGGTAATGAAATTTTGCGCATAAAAGTTTTACAACGGTAATTATCATTTCATTTTCAATTTAGTGTTTACGAATTCCTTCTTTCTAATTGCTTGTGTTGCTTTTATGCGCAAATGGCAAACCTTTTCGTAAGAAATATAAATTTTTATCTTAGATCTTAATTTCACGCTTTCCGCATAACTCTCTGTTATTTTTTCATATTTCAGTGCCTTGCAATTTGTTGTTTTTATAATTTTTTTCCTTAGCATTTATTTACAAACAATTATGCCCATTCACACTTTTTAATTTGATTAATGCCTTGTATTCACGAACATTGGCCTCGGTTGAGCAGGGATTGACGTTTCAGAAACATACAGACAAAAAAAGAAGACTTCTACTATACACTTATGTATGTACGTGTTCATAAATATAAGCACATACGTATATATGCATCTGGCTCAATGGGGATTCCGGGATTTCGCAAGCTTATTTTTTTGAATATCTCAAAAACTATTATAGTTGGAAAAATAAGATTTTTTTTTGCGAAGTTCAAAAACTCATATTTAAAAAAAGACCTTGCAAATTTCAAGACGAGTTTTTATATTTCAACATTCTGTAATTTTTTAATTTTTGGAATTTTTTTAAATAAATATCTACATAACTTTGTTAATTTTCGAATTTTTTTGTATATTTTTGTAACTTTTTTTAATGAAAATACTAACTTTAAAAATATTAAAATAAATGTTAATATAGAATTTTCTTTATTAATTATTTTAAATATATTTTGTTATTTATCTACTTTTTAGCAACGTTACCAGGCTTTGCGTGACTTTGTTTTTATAAAAATATAACCATTAAAAATACAAAAAAAATGTGTATATAATTTTCTTAATTTTAGAATTTTTTAAATTTATTTTTGATAACCTTTCTTTTTATAAAAATATCAGCCTTAGAAAACATAAAAATAAATCTATTTTTTATTTTAGAAACTCTCAGAAATTGTGGAATTTAGACTTTTACTTAATGAGAAAAAGAAAAATGTCCTTTGGCAGAACTTTTTTAGACGATAAAAGAAAAGTTTTGACCAAAATCATCCAAATTAGAAATGGTCTATTCCAACCCTTGGTCGTAATTGCCTTGCAAAAACACTTCAGATTCGCATTTGTACAGCGAATGTTTTTCTGGTACTGCCTAATGTACATACATACCAATAAATCTATATCTTGTAGATACTAAATATTTATTCTTCAATGACTTTCATTATTCCTCTCAAATTATATTATGTGTTTTCTGTTTTTTAATTGACATTTCCTCTCTCATTCATATTGGCATAATCACGCGCAATTTTTTGTTTACTCAATAATTTCCACGACCTTTTATTGAATGAGAGCGCAGAATAAAAACATGTAAATATTACGCAGGGTATGCAGTCACATTTGTCCCTGAGATGCATTATGGCAATGCAAATACAAAGAGTGCGAGAAAATTTACTACGCATTTACACATACTATATATGTACATGTATTGACATTTGATTGGTTTACTTTATTTTGCATTTCTATGATTTAAATGCAATACTGAATGATTGGTTTCG